CATCACACACACACACACCCATCACACACACACACCCATCACACACACACCCATCACACACACTAGCATCATCCCATGGATGTAGTGACACACAAAGACACCTCACTAGGCCTTTGTCACAAGCTACTACATGTAAATATGGGGCTAGTGGGGCTAGGAAGGGTGCAGGGAGGGAGCAAAACAGAAATCCTTCTTTCCCTCAAGGGGTTCACAGTCCAGCTAGAGGAGCTTCTTCATGCACAGCTAACACAGTTTCTGTCTTCTTCCTGGCTCTGCTCCAAGCACTTTTCAGTCGTTAACTCCTTTGGTCCTCTCGGTTGGAATGATGAGGCCAGTATTTTCGCTATTATCAACAGGTAACATGAGGAGTATTATCTTAAAGGTGAGAAGACTGAGACACAGATTTCTTACCTAGAAGCGGGCAGGGCGGGGATGCAGACCTAGGTAATCTAGCACCAGAATTCAGGCTTTCATTTCCCAGGAAATGGGACCATCCCCCCCAATCCCACCCTGAAAAGGGAAGAAATTGTCCCTTTTATCGTGCATGTACATACACACAGAGAGAGCAACACAGACCTGCACTACACACCTAGATCGTGTCAATGGTTACGCACAGACATGTCTCATAAGCTCCTGCAGGCATCCACCACCATGCACACCTACCTACATCCTGCCTACCAGGCACAGAGTCAATGGTTACACACACACCCTGCACACACTCACCACACCACACGCATTCTCCTACCAGACTCGTGCAATTTCTGGAGAGATCTTAAGGTGCAGAACCTGGCACCCCACACTTGGAGGAGAGGGGAAGGTGCAGACAAGATGGAATGAGAGAGGGCCAGGAAGGCAGGCCCCTCCAACCCAAAGCAAGCACATAATGACACTGGCACCCAAATCATCATTGGGAGTGCACCCCCTGATGTTTATTCTAGGTTGGAGGGGCTACTATTGAATCCATTTTGCAGAAAAGAAAGTGGAGGTTCTGAGCAGCTAAGGAGCTTGCTGCAGTTCTTCAGAGTGGAGCAAAAGACACCAAGCCAGGTCTCTGGGACCATCTCACTGTCCATCACAGGCTCTCCTCAGGACAGGGGCCTTTTCCCAAACAACAGCACAGCTCCCTCCTCCCAGGCTCTAGCCTGGCCCCAAGCCCTAGGGAAAGGTCTGGATGGGAGAAGAGAGGGCTGGGGGCTGGGGGCTGGGGAAGGGGCCGTGGGACAGGCAGGGGCTGCCCCACATAGGATGGAATTCAGAGGTCTGGCTGCTGTGAGGGACTGTGTTGGGCTCTGGGTCCTCAGCTCAGGACCCTGCTGCTGCCATCCCCTGTGAGGTCCTGGGGGGAGGGGCAGAGAAAATAGGGAGGGACATTCAGGCCTGACCTGGGATGAGCCACCAGAAGCTGAGCAGGCCCTGGGTGGAAGTGCCCAGAGCCCAGCATGCTGCCAGAGACCTCTCCCTGGGAGAAGCTGTAGCTTGGTCTTATCCAAGCAACCCCCTTTCCACAGACACAGGCTGGCTCTCGGCTATGCACTCACATGCACATGGGCACTTCTTGTCGGGGTGGGAGGCTCAGGCAGTCTGACCAAGAGGAAGTCACCCAAACTCCTTTTGTGGATGACAATTATATTAATACCAAATACAAGGCCTTGCTCTGTGCTCAGCACTGCCCTAAGCATGCTGCACATATGAACTCGTTCAACCCTCTCAACAAGACCAAGAAATGGGTTTATTTTTAATGCCCATTTTACAGATAAGGAAACTGTGGCAGAACAAAGATTCTTTGGAGGCTGTTCCTATAACAGGAGAGTCATTCCCTCATCCCACCTGCCTTTTAATGCACCTGGCTGGGCCCTTGCATACCAGTCCTTCCCCACACCAGCCTCCCTCTCACCTTGGCTCCCATTGATTGCCACTTGGATGTCCCTTCTCCAGCCACCCAGATCCAGGAATGCCTCTTCCAGGAAGCCTCCCTAGGGCCCCAGCTACAGCGAGTGTCCCCATCTTGGAACTTGTCTCTCCTCTGAACCCAAGCTCTACCTCTCCTACTGCTTGTCTTGCTCCATCCTACACAGAGACAGTACAGCCTGGCTGGGGCCTTGTCTGTCTGTCTCAGCTTCCCCTGGGTGCATGCTGACAACTTAATACAACTTGATCCACATTTATTGAGCACCTATGTRGCAGACCTAAGCTTTGCACTGGGGATGCAATGATAATCCATGAGAAACAGAGCTGGCTGTTATAGTCCTGAAAGAAACACATTTATCAAGTAATCTCAATAAGGAACTTAGAATCACAATCCTAGAAAAGTGCTCTGAAACAAAGAGGCAAGGTTCTTGGGGGACTCAGGGCAGGCTTTCATGAAAAGCAACGGTGAGGGCTGGGTTGTGGCTCAGTGGTACAGCGCTCACCTAGCATACATGAGGCACTGGGTTCGATCCTCAGCACCACATAAAAATTGAAAAATGAAGATATTGTATCCACCTAAAAAAACTAAAAAATAAATATTAAAAAAAAAGCAATGCCAAAAACATGCTAATGTCCATGTGCTGTGGAGATAGGTTGATAGAGTACTCCAGAGAGTGGGTGCAACATGTGCAAAGGCCCTGGGGTGAAGGGAGCCCAGTGTATTTGAGAAGCAAGGTTAGTACAGCTGGAGCAAGGTCAACAGGAGGAGCCTGGGGGAGTTGCTGTTGGCAAGTCCAGATGTGCTGGAGATACACCAGGAGGGCCTTAGGAAGCAGGATGGAAAAACCGGCCTTTTTCCTGAACACAATAGGGAATCCCTGACAGGTTTCAATAGGGAGGAACCAAGACTGGCCTTGCATTTCAAAAAAAGTCACTCTGCCCTCTGGTAGGAGGTACATGTAGAAGGAGGCAAGAGGTGCCAGAGCAGAGAGCAGTGGCATCCAGCAGGGTCAGGCCTGCGCCTGGCTTACTTTGGCTGCCCTCGGGCCTAGCATCCTGCCCCCACAGAGCAGATGCCCACGAATAGAACTGAATTCATGTAATTCTCCTGAAACAGGATTGTGGGAAAGTAACAAGCCAGAGGGAGGGGMAGGTGGGGGCTCAGGAGCTGGGAGTCCACAGTGGACTGGCTCAGGAGCCCTCTGTCTGGACACCTGAGCAAGAAGAGAACAGAGGACTGGGAGGCAGTGTGGGTGGCTCCCAACCATCCCAGTCCTACCCGGGCAGACTTACCCGGGCTTTCCATACTCCACTGCCCTGTTTTCAACAGGAAGTAGCAGTGTCCCTATGTCTGCAGCTTCACTCCCTACCCCTTCCCCCGGGCAGTGTCCAGGGCCTCTCCAGAGGGAGGCAGCACCCCTTCTACAGGGTGGAGCCAGAGATGCACCCCTCCTGTTTTATTCACTGGGGCATTGCATGGGGTTCATTTGGTTGAAGGATTCTGTTACTAAAAGGGGTGAGCAAACCACTGAGCTGCATCATTCATTCACCAGGCATTCACCGTGGACCACCTTCGGAAACCCTTCAGCAGATGGGCCAGGAAACATGATTCCAGATCCCAGTGAGCGCTCTGCTGGGATCAAGGAGTGAGGTTCCTCGGCTCTGGCTGAATCCCCGCAGTGTTCCCTTTGGTAGCCACACTTTGCAAAGGCGGTGAGAGGTCCTACTGAGGGGAGGTTCTACTGAGGGCAGGTTCTACTAAGGGAAGGTTCTACTGAGGGTTCTACTGAAGTGCACTTCAAACCCAGCCCTGCCTGACATCCAAGTTCATGCTCTATCCAGAAAAAATGCCAAAGAGCATGAACTCCTCTGGCTTGAGGAAGAGAAGACATAAGGACAACAGCTAGCTGTGCCCTTGGGGACTCCCTGGCCTGACAGAATCCTTACTGGGTTCAGAAGAAATCCGCTCCCGTCYAGTGGAGCTGCAATTGCCCACTGACC